GATTTCTGTGATTTCTGTGATATAAGAAGAAATCATGTTACATCACCACAAAAATTCACAAAAAATAGGTTACATCACAGAATTTAATTAAAGTTGCATACTATACCTTATTTTGAATAGTATTTACATATTTGTTTGCATATTTTGATGTTTTAACTGTTATAATTATATATTGTGTGAGAATATTTTTATTACTTTAACAAATAATGACTTCACAACGTCTTAAAAATTCAGTGGTGTCAATTCATTCTCAAATCAGAGAATATCCTGAAGTTTTTAGAAATGATTCTGGAATAATGTTTTGTATTTATTGTGACAAATCTATTGACTGGAAACACAAATCAACAATAGACAGTCATGTCAATAGTATTAAGCATGAATCAAATAAAAGAAAATACAAAGCTAAACAACAAGTATCTCACCAACAAACCCTTCAAACTACACTTAGAGCAGCAGATTCCAAAAAAATTGTAATAGAAGATTTAATTGAAGCATTTGTTGGTGCTGATATACCACTTCAAAAGGTTGATAAATTGCTTCCCTTTTTCAAAAAGCATTTAAGAGAAGGAGGTGCAATTCCAAAAGCTCCAACTCTAAGACAAGTATATCTTCCAAATATTTTTGAAAGTCATTTTTCTTCTCTTAAATTGCTATTTGATTCTAAACCAGTTTCTATTATTATGGATGAAAGTTTAGATGATTGTGCTCGTAGTGTAGTAAATACTATTTTTGTATACCACAATTACACCAAGCTTGTTTCAGTTGATTTTTTAGATAAAGTCAATAATTCAACAATTGGCCAGACACTTTTTTACATCTTAGCAAAATACAACATACCTTTTGATAAGCCAATTGTTTTTTTGTCAGACTCTGCTGCATATATGAAAAAAAGTTTTCGTGAGGTATTACATCCTGTTATGAGACAATTAATTCATGTACCATGCTGTGCACATATTATGAACTTGATTGGGTAAATTTTTTTATTTAATTATAATAATTACAATAAATAATTACAATAAATATAATTTTTTTTATTATATAGTGAAACTTGGATAAAATTTCCCCAATTTAGTATTGTAAAAAAGTTTTTACAAAATATTAAAGATGCTTTTGTGAAATCAGCTGCATGAAAACGTCAGTATATAACTCATCTTAAACATCATGGAATAGTATCACCATGTAAAATACCACTTCCTAATGCAACAAGATGGAATTCATGGTTTAAAATGGTATTATATACAAAAGAATATATCAACTACTGGCCACATTTTTTTGAAAGTGAATTGCAAGAAAATTCTAATAATACATTATTAGAAATTCATAATACTTTACAAAATGAACATGAAAGAGGCATTATCACAATTTATGTTTATTTCATTTCAATTTTTTCACAAGAATTTATTCAAACTCTTGATTTTTTCCAACAAAAAAATCTACCAGTATTTCCTTATATTGAAACAAGACTCCAGCATCTTACAGCATATTTAGAATCAAATAGAACTGCTGAAAATTTTGGCTCAGGTCTTGATGAATTAATTCTTAGTCTTCATTTTGTTCCTAGAGATTTTTATCCAATTTTTCGTGCTGCATTTGAAGCTGCATTTTTAAAATTTTCTTTACATATACCTAATCATCCAGCACATGAATTATTTTGTGCATGTAGAGTTTTTGATCCTGTTTTTATTCATCTGGGAGATATTCAACAAAGAAACATTAGACTTTATTCTACAATTGTACCATTTAACAATCCTTCACATAATCTTTTGTATGAATGGGGCATATATTGTGGATTGGAAACTCCACTAGATTTAGGAGAAAATATGATTGAGAAGTTTTGGTTAGATAAAGTGAATGAATTGCCAATTTTGTCTAGCATTGCATTAGATTATATTTGGCTACCAATTTCCAGTTGTACAGTTGAAAGGAGTTTTTCTTTTTACAATACCATCTTGGATAATAATTGGCAAAATTTGTCTCAAGATTCTTTAAAAATATTAACTATGATGCATTTTAATTCAAATTAATTAACCTTCCTTCTTTATGTTTATATTTTTTTATGTTTATTATATATCTTTATCTGTTATAACATAATAAACATTGGTTTATATTAAATTATCAATGTATTTTTATCATAATATTGCCACATAATTTCACACATTTACCAAAAAAGCACCACAAAACTTCACAAATTTTGCAAAA